TAAAGTCCTAAACACAGAGCAAGTGTGATGAGTCAGATCTGGTCAAGTGGCGTATACATGCAAAATTCTGAATAAAAATAATCAAATTAACATGCAGTGAAGAGAGAATTTCCATAGTGAAGCCTGTAATTTCCTGAAGAAACTTCTCTAGATTGCTAAGCATGATTTGGACAAGTCACGAGACAAAAGAACTGCTTTTTTTTTTTTTTTTTTTTTTTTTTAAATTTTTTAACAGGGCTCTGTGTATTTTGGGACATGGACAGACAGTTCGCATTGCAGACATATTTTGTTGGATTACCTGCTTTGGTGTCAGTATTGAAGGACTCATTCTGTAGAACCCTCTTAAGACCTTGTCATCCTGCTTAAATAAAGACTACAGAATGTTCTAAATGCAGTAATATAGATTTGGTTTTTTTTTTTTCCTTTTCTTTTTTTTTTTTTTTTTTTTTTTTTTTTTTTTTTTTTTTTTTTTTTTTTTTTTTTTTTTCAGAAGTAAATGGACACTGAGTGTAGGTGTTAGATGTCTCTCATTTTTTGTACTACTTTTTGAAAGATGGTATTTCTCAGAATAATGTGAGAAGGCTTGGAACACTGATTTATTCCTGTTGGAAGATCATTCTGCAAATGACTCCAAATTGCAGTAATTTAGAAATCTTGAGGTTCTTTCTATATTTGGATTTGTACATTCGGCAAGCTTTTAGTACAAATATATGAATCTTTGGCAATTATTTTAATTCATGAATAGAAATTTAACTGAACTAAATACATGAATGTACCTTACAGTGCTCAGGCTTTGTGAGACATTTCTGCTAAATCGGCTTATGAATTTCCTTTTGATGAGCTTAATTGTTGACAGATTTTTCAAAAGCTAACAACAGCTTGCTTTGCTAGCTAGTATTCACATGAACTGGATAGTCTTGTGAAGTCCCTTATGCAATTTGCATAATATTTTTCTTCTACTGTAAGATGAAGTGAAATCCTTTGTAGAGAACCTAACAACATTTGACATTGTAAAGACATCAATGCAAATAAAATTTAAAAACCAGAAAAATCACCCTCCCAGCTTGTCCTTCAACATCTCAGAATATGCATAGCTAGAAAAAATAGACTTTTTTTCTTCTCTTTTTTTTTTTTTTTGCCCCAGAGGACTATTTAGAACAAAGGTCCTAAATAATGAGATGTGGTCTCTTAATGAAGATATTATAAAGATATTTTGCTATTTTTTTTCAGCAGAACTGTAACTAGGCTTTTCATCTGAGATCCCTCAAGTCAGAATGCATTACATATGCAAATATATTCATTAAATCAACAAAACAAATTAGCCATTTTGTCTATCCATGTGAAACAGATAAATTCTAGATCTTATCTACCCAGAAATTTTTGTTGTTGGTGGTAATATTTCAGAATTTCTATCTTTGAATTCTATTGTCTGGAAGTGTAGGTGGGAAGAGAATAAAATGTAAGCAAAACAGTAGGATCTGTAATCCATAACAACGGTTGTGCATGTCTGAGTGAAGTGAAGCATATAGAAACCTTGAAAATAACTGACCCTGTTTTCCTCCAAACATTTCTGAAGAATTCTGCTCTGTTAATAATGCCTTAAAAGTAATAAAGACTGGTGTCTGTGGATTCTAGCCAAATGAGGTCACATCCTACAGTCCTTGCTTTGTCTTACTGGAGTAAATTTCCCATTTACTCAGGATAAGATGGGAACCAAGCACCGAGTAAGGGTGGCAGGATGGGAAATGGTTTGTCACCTCTAAGACTGCGTTTGCAAACTGCTGGAACCACAAATGAGCTCAGTGTTTAGCAAGATGGTGGATGCCAGCATGAAGCTTGGAAGTGCCAATTTTAATTAAAAGCTGTATCTTCAAATCAAGTTCCTAGTTAACAATGGGTGGGAAATTCTTCCCATCATGCAAGCTTTCTGAATGCTGTATTGACTGGCAAGATGGGTGCCCCTTCCACAAAAGTCCTGCTGCTATCATCTTCCCCTTCACCTCCCCCTGCCAGAAGAAAAAGACTACATTGTTTATGGAATGTCTCCTTGTTCATGTCCTGCATCTAGGCCAGAAGAGACAGATTTTATTTTGTCCTGCCCATCCCCCTTCCTTCATTATTAACAATGGAGTGAACACATGAGATTAACATGGCTCTTGACATGGCTCAGTTGTTTGCCATTTGGAAAGTACTGATTCTTCAGTTGTATAATTGTTAAAATAAAAAAAGTATAAAAGGATTCAGTCATTTTCTGTTTATTCCAAAGACAAGGAGAACAGAATAGTAGGAGAGAGATGGGGGAAGCCAACAACAAAAAACAAATTAGTTTAAGAACCAGCATGTTCCCCTTACTTTAAGGAACACAGTAAACATTTCAAAAGTGCATGCCAGCTCATTATCTAACTCAGTCTTCATTGACTTCATGAAAAACAGCAGCAGTTAAGCAATGTTTGCCAAAAGCAAATTTGGGTACATGCATTGCTAAAAAAATGTGACATCCGCTCTGTACAGGTTCCTTAATCTGCCACACAGGGGCAAATCAACATTTCATCGTTATCGTTTCTCTCTGTTGTTTAGCCCTTTCATGATTGCTCTTCTAGTCTGTTTTGATCATTGTTTATCCAAAACTGTGGTATGACGTATGATTTGAATTCTTAGCCAGAAACGAACCTCTGCAAGTGTTTAAAGATGTAGAGACAACCTCAGTAATATAATCTTGAATGTAATATATGCTTGCAAGTATCTTTCTTACAAAGTTTATTGTTTAAAAAAGTCTTAAATGGATGTGGGATATTTACGAATTCCTTTTTTTAAGATTTAAGATTTAGTTTGTCATTAGTTTCATGTATTTTTTAAAATAAACTTTCTTTTCTGGTTCAGGTATAATATAGGTATCTTTCTTTTTCAGTCAATTTGATGTGGCATTTGCAGATTACTCTTACATTGTCGAAAATACTGTGACAAGGCATTTGAATATTCTCTGTATTCAAATATTACCATTTATTGTGGTAACCAATAATACAACAAATTTAATTAGCTGTTCCTTATAGATAAGTTACCCATTCTTTAGTAAACTAATACCTCTGTCTGTCCAAAATATATAAATTCAAAAATATTTTGATTACTAGTGATCTTGGTTTCCTTCGAGAGTAACTCTTACTCAAGAAAAAGGCAAGCATATATTGAACAATTGTTTTACTAAATAGGTTAAAGAAAAGTTCTGTTTGGAAACCATACAGGCTTCCCCCCCCCTTTTTTTTTTTTTTTTTTGTCTAGTGTGCACCTTTGGGTCCTGTGGGCATTGGTTTCTTTCATCTTAAGTCTCTGCCTTTAAATTTTCTGGTCATTTTAATAAGTTTTGTTTCATTTTAATTCACATACTCTTCTGCCATATGTTTAAAATTCAGAGTTGCTGTGCAGTTCTGATCATTATTTATTCTATTCCACATATAGTACATCATACTCTTTATGAGTAAAGGGTGTTGAAAAAAATGCTTGTTTGCCGTGAATATACAGTTTGGGATTTTTTATTTTTTATTTTTAAAACACAGAAACCCTTTGATTCAGAATTTCTTAATGAAATGAGGAACTTAGTAGAAAATAATGCCACTTTCTTATGTTTTTGAAACATTTATGTCATTTTCCCTTGGGGAAAGAGAAAACAGCTGGTGAAATAAGAATTTCAAAATGGAAAAAAAAATTGCTTAAATAAACACCCATTTGACATTTTATCAAAAGCTGGAAAATGCTGGTGAAGTTTATCTTCACTAATTTTCCTCTTCTTCAAAAATTCCCTTTGTTATTGTTGAATTTGTTAATCCTCATGAGGAGCAGGTGACAGAATGCAGATCAGATAATTTTTTATTTTTTTATTTTTTTTCTCTGGGAGAGATGTGTTTATTTTTTTTTTTTTTTTCAGGTAGTTGTGTCCAAACCAAGTATATCAATATGTTCCAATATTTCAGGCTTTTCTTTGTTGTTAAGCAAAGATTGCTTCACTCCCATGGTGTAGTTTCTTCAGTCAATGCAGTACAATCTGGAAAGGATATTGATGTGGAAAATCAAAGTGTTACACTTTGAAAGCAGTTTTTAAACAACAGTAGGAAGGACATCAGCATTGTCAGCTGAAATAACTGAACCTTAGCTATTAGTGTTTATCAGGGAAATGTCAGAGGAAGAGCCTAAGAGGAGCAATACATGCTGGTACCAAACATCCCAGCAACTTTTTCCTAATAGCAGCCAGCAGAAGGTGCTCATGGAGAAGCATAGGAAACAGGGCAAGTACAATGATTCTTCCAGCTTCTGACAGTCAGCAGTTTTGAGACTCCCTGTGCTGGAGTTGCATCTTAAGCATTGTTTCTTATGAACCACTGAGTTCAGAAGCAACAATAGGAACAATGGATCACTGTTCAGCATCAGTGGCAACTGCAGTTAGAAATAAGTAACAGTGCCACTTCAAAACGCATGACATAGACAACAGAGACAGAAGAGCCAGGAAATTATGGTGGTGCTAAAGCCACACCCACGGCCAGAGGCAACATCTCACAGCTCCTCCGAGTTGTGAACTCCTTGGGAGCTGAGAATCCCCACCATGCAGAGAGGTAGGAGCCAAGCTCACCATTATATAACGCAGCAACTTCTGCCCATGTGGCATCTTAGTGGGTTGTTCTTCAGTGTAAGGGTTCCTGCCTGTGTGTTCCTGCTGACATATTTGTTTGGTGAGAGTTGACTGACTTTGTGTCATACCAATACACGATGCCACCAATCAGCTGATCTCTTGTGGTTAAGGCAGACATCCACATCCCTTCAGAGTTATTGTCTCTTTCTGTAGTTCCTGTTCGAGCATCTGCCTCATGTAGCATGTAAGCAATCCCATGTTGTTTCCTCTGGCAGCCCTCTTTGGGGTCTGTCAGCAGGGCTCCCAAATAAGAAGCTCTGCTCAAGTTTTCCTGCGCAATGCTAGTCCTAAGATGCGATCACCTGTGTATTTCTTTCCACAGCAAAGCATCTGGAAAATGTCACAGTCTGAAGAATATTGGGCATTCAAAATCTGGCTCCAAGTTTCCTCATGAACCAGTCTGCTCCTCTGCACCTGCGGAAAGGGACATGTGCTGCAAAGTGCTCTGCAAACCCCTCCTCAGTGAGCCCCATGGTTAGCCAGTCTCTTGACTCTGCATGAGGCAGCAACTCCTGCTGAGTTCCTGTGAGTATTTTGCGTGCAGCACTTCTCCTTGCAAAGTGGCAACATGCTGGGACACAAAATAGAAGGCCCTGTCCCTGTGTGAGCACTGCGCAGAACGGGAGGGCAGTTGTGATGGATGGGAACTGAGCTGTATTGGTGTTGCGGGTAGTTCCTGCTGGGTTTTGGAGACAGCATGTGTGTGTTTTAAGTTTACTTGGGGATGCAGGGGAATATGCCAACCCAGGTTTTTGAACAGTTCCTCGCTGCACAAATAGCCCCATTCATTGCAGCAGACGGCTCTGCATTTTCAGCTCTTCCTTGTTTTACTTAATTTTGCTCCCACAAAAATGTTACTGAACCCCACAGAAATTTTTCTTGGGTGAAGACTCTATTAAATCATCAAAAAATGCCAGGAGCTGATGCCAGATAAGAATGAAAATTGTAACAGTGTCCACGGCATTAACAATTGAAACCAGTTTTTGCATGTCACCTGTCTCTCTTTTCCTCACACTGGGTTGTTGTAAATGGCAGGCCTTGTTTCCTTTTGCAGTATGATTATTTTTACTGCATCCCTTATCTTTGTCTTTTGGAAAGAGCAAATAAAAACAAAGCTTAGCTTCACATTTTTGCTTGAAGATAATTTGGAACATTTTAACAGAGTAACTTTAAATGACCGTTTACTTTTGCAGTGATCAGGGCCAGTACTCAGGACTACAGCTGCATAGGTAAACTCCCAGGCTCCTTTATAACCATTTAGGGGTCAATGTTTTTGAAAGTGTGAAAAGGATGGCATTAAATCAGTGAGTATGCTGCCCACTTTGCCTGTGAGAGCTGTAAGACTGAAAAGACAACTGATGTAGGTCAGTCTCATGGAAATGGCAGGGCACAATGTGTGAATTACACTGATGTACATAGTTATATGAAGAGATTTTTTTTTTTAATGGATAAACTTTTACTACCTGCTAAATTTAGACTCTTAGACTCATTTCTGTGAAACCGGAGCTGAACCACACCCTTCAAATGTGAAAAGCTGTTGCATTAAATCATTGTACTACTCAGAGAGCTCAGTCAAATGAGGACAAGATTGCAGGCAGGTGCAATTTCCTTTTAGAAATAGGGAGTGCTTCTGCATTCTTTAATGTGTTGGTTTTAGTCTCTACAAAATACAATTTGTATTCTGTTATAACTAGTAACAAATTACACATCTGGAACAAAGAGGAATGTAGCTGAGCAATATATTACATTTATCTGCAATCTGTTTCAGATCCCCTGGTTCCTTTTAATTTTAACTCTGCAACAAATGTACTCCCAGTCTTCATTTTTATCACTTGTTACAGTGTTTAACAAAGGTCATTGTGACCCAGAGGAAGCTTAAGAGGAAAGTGTTATGGTGGATCTTGGAAATGGAGTTTAACTATGATGACAGTGGGCACGAAGCCAAGCCCAGCTCTCCTGCATGTATTTAATTTGCACTCTTTATTTTTCCTCATGCCGGGCTGGATTCAATCTTGGAGCCACATCCATGGATGAGGCAGAAATCTTCAGTAATTAGTACATCTTTCTTCTCTGATGGCTTTTTTCAAAAGAATACTTTAGATTGTTTACTTTTTCTGTGGTTGCATTGTTGAATTAATAACAAAAATGTAGCCACTGTTGAGTAGTCTTCCAGTGAACGTCTAAAAATATTTAGTTTTGTGCTTAGTAACCACCATTTTGTCAAATTTGGTGAAAAACTTTTTTTTTTAATGGGGATTTACCTGCTCAGGTCACTAGATTCAACACCCTAATGTCCTTGGTTTTTTTTATTTTATGATTTCATCTGTTTAGATTTTGCCTGCTTTAAGACTATCTGATTAGACTGGTGCAAAAGAAATTATGTTTCATGGTTCAGAAATGCCAAAGCTATCCTAATTTCCAAAATATTCAGATATAAATCATTGCTCATATTGTTAAAATTTATAAAAAATTATTTCACAGACATTTGTGCTATGCTTTGTACTACTTTATGTAAAAATAGAGAACCTACCCATAAGGAAGGCATCTCTGTATCTAGCCAGATTTATAGCTACTAGTGCTTCTGAGTGTAAAATATTCAGAAGGTTCATTTCTAAGAAATTAGAGCTTTGGTGAATCACTTTGTCTAGGAAAGGTTTTCCAAGTTTTTTTAAAAGGCAATGTCCATGTCTTGCATATTTTTTTCAAATGCAGAGGTTTTCCTGGCTCCATAAAACATCTTGATGCTGGGTTTATCGAGTTGTTTTTGCTTAGATTTCATTAATTTATGTATTAGCATACTATGGCATTGATTACGATTTCTATTTCCTTTGGGCAAGAAATAACCTGCAGGGCTGAGGATTGTGTGTTCCAAAACATGGCATCCACTAATTATATTGTGTCCAGTGAAAAATGTTCATATTTTTGAAACATAACCAATTTTCTCCCTTTTCTCCAACTGCAGTCAGAGAAATTTCTCTATTCTTCTGCTATTGTTCCTGTAGAGAAGGAATGTTTGGGAGAGGGGTTGGCACTCAGATGTACTTAATACATTACTTTTTTTTTCCTGTGCCCAACTGGAGTAAATATTCTGCATTTCTATGTTCTTTTATATTTGCAAATATATATATGGGTTATTGATTGTTTTCCACGAGTGCTGTAAATAATACCTGAGGCTTTACAGCTGTGCAGTCTCAAAAGACAAGATCTAAAAAGTAAAACCTACAAGCTCAGATAAGCTTAGCTGTTAATAAGACAGATTCATCATGCTTTTTTTAAATGAAGGTAGGAGTTACTTTTGCAAATAAAAGTCCTTCAGTGACTGTGTAGATCAAAGTACTTAATTTTGTTCTAAATGTAAATATTCTTGTTTTGCTTATAAGTGCATGTACATCTTCCTGCGCATGGAATACAGTTAATGCTATTATTGACATTGTCTTGTAGTGATATTTCAAACTGAAATTATAGAATTCCATGTCTTTGTGATGATGATAATCTTCCTACTCATGCACTTAGTTCTGATCATTATTATGATTATGAACAGTATGTCATTCTTATGAACAGTATATCATTCAGTCAATGGATAGCCAAAATCCCTTTAAAAAAACATTGATCACATTAATTTTTTTTACCAATACTGTTCATAACAGTTACAGGACATATGTATCAAATCCCAGTATATCAGTAATATTTTTTTCAGTATGCTTCCATTTCCTACCTCCCTCCTACCATTTTGATTTGTATTGGGAAAAAAGACAACTGTTGTCTCCAATCAAAGTAGGAAAATGTAATATTCATAGTTTCAGTATGCCATGAGTAATGAACAGTACATTTCCTGTTCTGTGATTAGTTTGTAATAAAGTATATTACAGATGTAGCTCTAACACTGTCTCCAGTTAAAGGAAAAAAAAAAACCTCTATGAGGCCCTTTATTTGCCAGAATCACTCTGAGTAAAAGTTTAACTATTGTGTCAAGGCTATCTTCTCAACAACACAACAGGCAAACTGGAGTGAATTAGAGAACAAAGTACAAATGTGTTTGCAACCACCATTTCCATAAGATAATTCACATTTCACTATGTACTTAAGGAATGCCACTGTGACACTTGGTTGATGTATACTTGCTGAGTAGATAAGTATATTGTAGCATACTTCCCTTGTGGACTCATGGCCCCTTCCTCACATGTTACCAAAACCATATTTAACTAATTTCTGTCTGTTTTAAGACTAATTGCCCCTGTTTTTAAACAGTGCATACAATAAAAAATGTTAGAATTCCACTTACCTGTGAGTGAAGTGCCTAGTGTGTTGGCATTATGACCATGGTAGTCAGGCTGACCATCTCACAGAAGCCACCTCTGGTAAACTGGCAAAGTTGCTTTGTAGTGAAGAGACTTCAGAGACAAATCCAGACCCTGTTAAAGTCAGTGATAGTTTTGCTGTTAACTCTGCTGGCTTCAGAATTTGTAAGAATCATTTCAGTATGTCCTAAGATTTGTTTTCTCAGAGCATTGTGTGCAAACAGGTCTCTTCTTCAGCAGCACTGCAGTCCTCTGGACTTTGGGATGAGGGAGTTCATAAGGGACCAAGAGAAGCTCATTGAAAACTCTCTTTCTGGACCATAGAAAGGGACACTCATTTCTGAAAATACCAATAAGAAGATGAATCATCTTATCTTAGGTAACTTATAATTTCTGATTAAGTATTTAGGAATTTATCCCTAAATATGTCAATTCTTTTAACTAAGCGACATGTCACCACATTGGTTTAGAAGTACTACAGTCATATTTTATTATCTTGCATGATTCTGTGGAACAAAACCCTTTAAAATCTTGTAGTATGATCTAAATACCACTTTTTTATTTGCTAGTATTATTTTAAATGCCAGAACAATCACAAAAGAATTTTAATCTTATTAAGGAAATATATTTTAAAAAAGATTAATACTTTGCTTGTGCTTGTTAAAACAGTATTAAAACAAGGTGGAAATGTGTTTGTAGTTAACTCCCAGAGGACTTGGTGTCAGAATAAATGTATTGTCCTTTTTAGGAAGGTGGCCTCTACCAGATGTAGGCTCAGAAATGGCAATTGCCATTCATGTAAATGACTAGCAGGTTTATCCTGCCTTTCTCTGAGGCCATCTTGACTTTTGGCAAGAGGCAAAGAGCAGGCCCATAAGAAAATAGTAGTTCTCATGGGAACAGTAAAAATATGCTGGTATTGTTTAATTCTTTCATAACATGCTAAATTAATTTATTTGTTTTTTGAGTCTTTTAAAGTATAATGCCACCAGGGAATGTGTTTTTCATATACCAGTCTTAAAAATATATTAAAGTTTTAGGGAGAGCAGTCAATGAATAAACACCATTGGTTATCCACATTGGGTGACTGGGAGACAGAAGGCTTGATTTTTTGCTGCTTTACAGATTTTATTGAAATTGGCACCAGTGCAAAGTGATCTTCTTATCTGTACATATTGCAATCTTTTTGCATAGAAGTAGACAACTGTAAAACATGTGGGATTGTGA